AATGTATTGTCGCAGGACGGGATCTGCGAGATGGTCGGAAAATTTGTGAGAATTTAGTTTTATTAAAGATATATACAAATACTGGTCGTGGATTGGTCAAAACGCGGTTTTGGGGCGGGGACTATCCGTCCGACCGGCTATATAAGGCGACCACCGCGATTAGCAAGGGGCCTTTTTCCAGAGTATTGGGAGAATTTTTTGCGGGTGTTAAAAAGTAAAGTAGCTACTTTTAACCGAAGAAGTACGATTTTAGGTTGTAATCCCCGGTTAAATCCCGAGATTACGTGGACAACATTGTTTAGCCGACATTTGATTATATTGAACTTAGTTATTATCTATATACGTGGGGGAAGAGAGTCACCTAGGGGTTTTGGTGGAACCTGAAATAAAAAGCGGGTTTAAGTGTACTTACCTGTAATATATGTATGAACCGAACTTGAATCCTTTCGTTCTTGCCTCCTGTCATAGTGATGCCCTCAGCGTAGTAGGGATTGTTGAAACCTGAAATAAAATATAATAATAGTGACTGAGTCTGAAGTCCTGTAAGAGAACTAATAAAAGAATTCGAAAGGTATTAAGGACCAATCTAATAATCAGTAACTTAGCTTTGTTATTAAACTAAAGTGAGTGACTACGTGGGAACTGGACCGAGAGACAGTAGTGAGGCAGACTATAGTATATGTGGTAAGTGAGGAACTGTTACAACTGAACTGTATCGAATAAGGAAGGACATTCTAAATATTCACTAAGTTAGTGGGTCTTGAACAATTGAACTAAGTGTAAAGACGCGGTGGTTAGATTGAATTGACTTGCAGTAATCTCGGTAGAGAATATAAGACTTAACGTTAGTTGTGATTGTATCGGGTGTTAGAAATAATTATCTTATCACGCGAAGAAGAATAGAGATTTCTGGCGATTTGCTAGTCCGAGTTCACCTAAATTTTATCCGATTATTGACTTATTATATCTATATTGAACCTAACTGTCTATATATCTGTTGTTATTGTATGTATTGTAACATTATGACGTCAAGAGGACCCAACTACGCATGCGCACCTCTTCCTGACAAGGAGGTTGGGGAGAAGTGTTTACATGAATCCCTAACTACCACCGAATCCCTCGAAGAAGCGTTTGGTGATGGGGAAACGGGACCCCTGGTCGAGCTGGACGCCGGCCAGAATTTAGGCGGAGGCCGCCCCAATATAGATCCAAGGATATTTGACAATTCTGGACATGATAGAATATACCCGGCTGAGAACGCCGGAGGGTCCGGCGATGCGATCTACGCAGGCGCACGAGAACAGTATTTGCACCAAACGATTTTCGAACTTTTTCCCAGTGAGATTTGATATCTTTCCTAATATCTACGTTCTCCATCGTTTTACCGTACACGGCATTGTTCATGAGCTTAAAAAAATCTTTTTCGAATTTGTTTGATGTAGCATTTCTCATTACAGTGTTAAGATCGATATAGACTTTCAACCAAGGGCTTTGATTAAATTTTATTATACGATGTATTTTAGTGACTTTCAAACCGTTTCTTATTGCCTGTTTCAAGTTCCTAAAGTGTATAATGTACTTATGTTTATTATTTAAATTTGGAATTAATTTTGGAATTTTTGACTTTGCACCAGGTGGAACAATATTCTCTGCTAATAAGGGCAGGTCTGAGTGTGCATCATGTAATTCTTTAGGATATTTCACGTCTACTTCTAACGCGTAACCGTTAAGTCCTTCGTCGGGAATATCCATTACGTTAAATTTAGAAATTTCGTCTTCTGTTAACCACGAAAATCCACCGGTTGGTAAACACTGTGACATGCTGTGTCCGTAGAGATTCGTGGCATCCAAATACATAATAAAAGACGAAGGTTCGTCTGGATTATAATTTGGAAGGAATGTATTGTTCGCAACATGCTTCCTATCAGAACATTGGCTGATTCCACCGCGAATACCTTTTTTGAAAAACTGTAGCATTGTAATATCCGTCAAAAGTTCCAACTCTACTTTTGTTAATCTTAACATGGCGTCCCATGCGAGACCTGGAGCTGTATAATATTGTGCGGGATCCAATTTATATTTGTCTAAAGAAATTGCTCGAAAGTTTTCAAATACATCACATAATATAAGCACGTCTGATTTTAAATATATGTCCGAATATTCGCCTAAATCTTTACAACTAAAAACTTTCCACGTTTTCTGTGCTCTTTCATATTCAGTATCCGTTATGTGAGTTTCATTCAACTTATCATAAAATTCATCTTTAGTGGGTAAATTTGTAGAATTTAGTTTAACTAAACTCGTTNTCTGCACTCTGTAGCTTATTATTCTACATTTGAACGCACTATTAATAATTTGTACGCCATCACATTTTGGAGTACAGGAAACGGTTCTATGTTCCAATGTCCTACGATGCGCATAAATTTGACTTTTGGGTATTTCCTTACCACAACAGTTAATTGTTTCAACCACAGGCGATTGATTGTCATGATGTAATTTCACTCGTTTTGCTTCCGGTTCACTAACATTTAGGGGTTTACAAGACTCCCTTTCATGGCGACGTAAATTATCACTACGCGTAAAGGTTTTACTACATACATTGCACAAATACATTTTTGTTAGTAAAAACTCACTCTCGATCGGAAAGTTATTCACAAATGATATTCAAACCGTCTACTCCTGCCTTTTTATAAAAATGGAGACCCATGATGAGCATGCGCTGTTGAACACATTCATTTTAGAGTTTCTGTTAGAGGGAATTACAAAGGTTAATGAAGGTGACCAATATAATATTCGGCAGAGGTCAAATAAAGGTTATCAACGAATATGACTTTCAATGTCATATAGGACATCCTCAAACTTCAAGTAATGTCCAACTTCGCAGAGGTCATTCAAGGTCAATTAATATGAATTTCAACACGTTACCGCAGGGGTCATTCAAGGTCAACTAATATGAATTTCAACGCGTCACCGCAGGGGTCATTCAAGGTCGCCGAGGGGGTGAGGGGTGAGACGAGGGGGAGATTGAGAATCGGTTAAAATACCCTACTGTTTATAATAGAATGTTTGACTATAGTTACAATTACTTTTAATTAAAAATGTTAACAATGTTCTTATATACTTCGTTTTTGATGGTTTTTATAGGATAATCTCACGTTTATGTCTTGAGCAAGGAAATAAACATTTCCGAAAGCTTGACAACAACACAGAGTGTTCCTATTACATTAGCCCTTAGCACTATTGACTGCAATACCAAATACATCACTGGATTATATATATATATATAGTTATAACCCATACGTTCTTCCCTCAAAACTTCAGATATCCAATTCGTAGTTCCCTCATATATAACGAAGTTCCCTCCGATTATGGAGGAAACAACGTTTTGCGTTAAATTTTAATTTAGCCTGGCGTCCAACCTTTTTTCTAACAATTGAAGAAAAATTGCTTGGAGGGTCCTTTGTATACATTTTTCTTGAAAACGAGTGGTTTAGTTCGACTTTCTAACGCCGGCGCTGCAATCGTATTTGTAAATTAAAAATTTCGTTCTAAGTTCCCTCCACAATGTTTTAAGCGATTGCAATTTAAATAGTCGCTTTTATTCCCTCCGAAATTCGGCAACACCGCTTTGTTTTACTTCTCTGGCATTTCCGTCAGTTGACAGTGTTCTGTGTTCAGTGTTCTTCAAAATTCAAAACATAATGATACCACATATCTAACCCATATGCGACACTTAGAGAGATAGAGCTACTTTGTGCAACACGAATGGAGATACATCCAAGTTAAAGGGAATGAACGCATGCGTATTTCCCAACAGAACAGCTGTGTGACAAAGTAAGATGATATTTTCAGATTTACTATTATTTTGGCATTAAACAGAATAAATATGAAATACAAAACTTTAAGGATATATAAATTTTGTAGAGTAAAATAGAATGTTTGATTATTTTGCCCATAAAATGATGCTACGAATGAACGGTTTTTAAATACATTACCGATGAAGCCCGAATACTTCCGTACATGTTTTATCTCCGTGTGGTTTATGTTAGTGACGTTACGTATAAATCATATAATAGCCATTTTGGGCATTTTGTAAACATTGTTGCCGTTAGCTGTATTGAAGTGTTTTAAAAAGTGGTTTACAGTGGATTTATAGTTATTTATTTTTAAAACTTTGGCGTTTTTATTAACAATTATTTGCAGTTACAAAGAATGTCTAAATCAGTATCGGAAATGCAAGAAAGAAAATAAAAATATACATTTTTTCGGTTTCCTAAAGAAGAACAATTGTATGATTATTACTTTTTATATAGGTAATCTTAAATTGCTTATAAAAATTGTTTAAATATTAAATTTTTATAATATAAATTGTTCTTTTAGATGTCGATAGAAAAATGTGGACACCCAGAATTAATAATGCATGGATAAAACGATTTCAAATTTACATAACTAGTGTAATACCTTTTGGAAGTTAAAATGACATATTTTCTATATTCATTATTCAGTTAGATAACAAATTTGATTGNACGGGGGCGTACGTGTCTTTTGGTGTATTTGTCTGTCTGGTATATTGTTTGTCGGGGGTCGCAATTTTAAAGAAATGTATTTTAAAGTAATGCAAATAACTGATAAATAAGTTAAAACTTACCTGGGCATAACCCCGGGACAGGTACCTGAACAAAGATGCCGACGGCCTCTATGCTTAGCCGGGGATTAGGTCGGTGATTAAAAGGAAAGAAAGGGATTCTTTCCAGGTAGCCTTAATAAAGGCAGGTAGATTTTGCTCGTTGCAATCACTTCACCTCACAAACAAGCACGTCCGCTCAGCTCGGCTGTTCGCACTGAACTCGATGTTTTAAGCGATTGCAATTTAAATAGTGGCTTTTGTTCCCTCCGAAATTCGGCAACACCGCTTTGTCTTACTTCTCTAGCATTTCCGTCAGTTGACAGTGTTCTGTGTTCAGTGTTCTTCAAAATTCAAAACATAGTGATACCATTTACTTAGGTTAGCTGAAAATGACTTCAAGAAGCCGGTTACTTGTTGAACTAGCACGTAAAAAAAGTAAGTTGGATTTATAATTTTAATTATTTATATACCTATTAATGCACCAGCATACATATGCATTGTTTTTTAATTAACATTTACACACTGAATAGTTTACAATGTTTTTAGGTTAGGTGTTAATATTTAATTTAAAATAATTAGTCAGAGTAGAGTTATTTGTTGAATTAACGACCAAAAATGAGAAACTCAAATTGATTGTGAATATTATTAGGGTTACCATATTATTCCATTTGATATAGTAAATTTTGTATAATCTGACTTGTACTTGTTATAAATATGTATGTGGAAATATTATTACAGTGGCACCGTTTTTTTCTTTTTTTTTAGTTTTTTTGGACTTGGATGATTGTATATCTAGTTATGTATCAGATACAGAACCTGAAAGTTGTTGCGATTCTGATAAGGTAAAAAATTAATTTAAGTAGTATAAAAATGAAACTTTTAATTAATTAAAGTAGGTGTGATACGAGGCGTGGTTCACGGACCCAAATTTTGTACACCATAATACCAAAAGGTAGTCATTATTTTCAAAATAATACCGTAATACCATATATGATAATGATACTAACTATAATATAATACCGTAATGGTATTATAATACTGGTAAGTTGTACACCATAATACCGGCGTGAGCCACCCCTTGGTGTGATATTACTTGGTTTATTGTTCATTTGGTTACAACAAATAATCGAAATTGTGGGGATCTTTTTAACGGATTCATTTTTTAGTGGCTAAAGTTGAGTACTAATTTAAGTAATGTCGACTGTAGTGGACCCTTATCAGTAGCAAGTAGAATCATTTATAAAGATAATCTTGCTAACATCGATGCTAATACAAACGAAAATAATGTTCAGACTGATTCTAACTTAGACAAAGATCTTTGCTCTTTAGATCTCATGGACAATCAAGGTTTTAACGGCTGTGTCACATGCCAATATAATTCCTCTATTGATAAATCTTTTAATAAAGTTTTTAATTGGTTAAACAATTCGGAAATTGCAACAGAAGAGAAAACTGCCCAGGATTTATCCAATACAAGGGATTTGAATAGAAGTTTTTACAGTGCCGAAACTATTAATGCAAATTCAGAACAGGTAAATAATATTTTTAGGCAAAAACACTATTTAATTTAATAGGAGTATGGCCATATTAATCCAGTCAGGATTTTTATTTTATTTTGCAAAAGTTATGAACGGATTTCAATCCTTCGAAACACATATTTTTCCTCTTAAGCGCTATGAGGTACATACCTGCTATTTCTGTTTTTCGAGTGAAATTTTTTTTAGTGCAAAAAAAAGCAAAAAAACTTTTTGGTACCTTTGCGCAATTTGTTCACCAAGTTGCCACAAACTGATTTTTTCTAAAATATACATGGTCTCCCAGAAATGGTTGGAAAAAATGGAATGGTGGGATCCTTATTAAATTTTAAGAGGGTTGTTTTTCATATAAAATTTTTTGATCCGAGCCTTTTCTAAAAAGTTACAGTTATTTCAATTTTTCTCGAAAACGGTTGCAAATAGAAAAATTAATTTTGGCAGAAACTTAGCACTAATTAAATGACAGTATATCAATATATTTCCAGTTTTTCGAATATTCTACAAAGGGGTGATATGAGATACACGTTTAGCATTTTTTCAATTTATTTTTGTTTAAAAAAAAAATTGAACCGAAAAATTCTATATTCTAAATCGCCCTTTCTCTTTATAAACTTTTTCATATCTTGCAAAATGTCGATATCTCCTTTACTTTTTGAGTAAAAAAAATCATTCCTTCAAGAAAACATGTCGAACTACATACAAAGTTCTGAATTGCTTAAAGTATTTTTTGAACAGTAGGCTTGTGCATTATCACAGATAACCATTGTTATCACAGATAACAAATGTATTGTGTTTTCTTCTTGGGTTAACTGTACACTGGAACTTGATTTTTATTTCAGAATTAGTAAATAGCTAGACATGTATGCTTGAAGATTTTTTTGGTCGAAAGTAAGGAAGATATCGAAATCTTACAAGATACGAAAATTGGAATAACTGTTTTTTGCCCCCCCCCCCTCCTGAAAGGGGCTGTAACTTTTTAGAGAAGGCTCGGATCAAAAATGTTATATGGAGCATCCCCTTTAAAATTTAATAACGATCCCACCATTTAATTATTTCCTGCCATTTCTGGGACACCCTGTAGATTAAATTCCTAAATTCCTACTATTTCTCTCCTAATTATCATGCTAAAAAAGTGCCAAGGACTTGTATTAAAAAAAATTATCCATCCGGACTGGACTACATATGGTTTGCACATAATCAATTTGCTTAATAAACAAACATAAAATTGTTTGCAATTATATTTTTAAGTTGCCACAATATAAGACTGGTGAGAATAATAATAGTTTTCAAACAAATATAAACTCATGTGAAAGCCCCTGCCTTCTAGACTGTATGGAAAACATACTTTCAGAAACGTATAGACTTAATAAAAATAATGGAAACATGTCCTCTCTTAGTCATGACCTTAATTGCATAACCACTCAAGAACAGAGGAATGAATATAGCACATTCAATAAAGAAAATAAAGTACAAAATACTTTTACTTCAAAGAAACATGGTAATAAAGATGATCTCATTAATGATGAGTCCGAAAGTATGGATACTGTCAGTGATGACAGTAAAGATAAAGATTTCGAAATAAATGAATATACAGAACCAGAGTTAGAAATGTGTAGCTCTGTAAGTTAAGAATTCGTCATAGTTCAACAATTTGTTAATAACAAATGTTTACATTGATACATTTTTATTTTAATAAAGCCAAAGCAGGCAGCAAGCATGTGCAACTGTGAAAATTTCACTTGTGTTTTTAATGAACATTTTCTGAGTAAACTTAGAAATAAAATATATATGTAGATTCTCTGGGAATTTGTTTACTGTTTCTTGTTTTGACACACTTCTACATCTGCAAATTTAAAAAATAGTGTTATTAATATTGCTCCTTTATTCTATCTCATTATATATTTCTCTATTTTATAAGAAGGAAGATTATCGAAACAAACAATTCCGATGCAAATTTTGTGACAAAGATGTGTCCTCAAGAAACTTCGTGTTCGTCATTTAGAAAGACGACACAACCATGAAAAGGAAGTTCGAAACGTTATATCATTTCCTCTAAAGAGTAAAGAAAGAAAATGTGCCTTGGAAAAATTAATAAATGATTCTAATTTTGACCTTTATTTAAACGGAACAATAAGACCAACGAAGCAATTAACAGAACCGATAGAAATTGAATACTATCCATGCGTTTACTGCAATGGAATATTTTCAAAATGTTATGTTACTTAAATCGCCACATAAAAAATGCATTGGCAATAGAGAACCAAATAAACATATGAAAGTCAATGTTGTTTCTGCTTCACAAACAAAAGTGGCATGTGCCACCTACCGACGTTATTTCTAAATTAGCCATTAGAGAAGAGGTACGTATTTCTTTTATATAACAACATCTGTTGCATACGTAATTTGGCTTATCTAATGTTTTGTTAAAAAGTTTGCTAAGTAATTGACTTTTTAAAACATATTTTTTGGTAAAACGTTGTACTTTTCGTATTGACAAAATTAAATATATCACTTTTAAAGCCTTGTTTCGCCTTTTGATCAGATCATAAGAAAAATTAACAATTTCCATCATTGTTTGGTAGCCATTGTAACACTTTTTTTGTCTTTGCTTTTTATAATAATATTTTTAGGTGCTTAATATGATGAGGGCTGATGAAATTTCATTTGTTGCCAAAAAAGACCTTTTAATTATGCACTATTGAGAAACCTATCTAAAATCGCAGAGAAAGACGAGAATACTCCTGCAGCAATAAATTACGGGAGCTAGCCCGCTTGCTATTGACTTACAGAAGTATTGTAGGCGACAATAATATTTCGTTTAAAGATATTCTTCATCCAAAGAATAAGACCTACGCAATACCAAGTTTAGCTATGCACACAGGAACAACTTTAAAGCTCATGTCTGAGGAATTAATTCACCTAATATTAAGGGGAAGTAAAGGGTTTCAGTCAGAATCTAAAGAGATGGCTGAGGTGTGGCATAGAAATGTAAAAAATTTTGAAAAGTTGGTTAAAGCGAGGTGGAATAAAGAAATTTCATCTGTAGCGAACAAAGATCTAAATGAAAAACGTTGGAGGAAACCTCTTTTGGTACCCTTAATTAATGACGTCAAAAAATTTAAGGAAGGGGCACTTAGTTATGCTAAAGAGTGCGAAAAACAATTTATTGATAAAAATGATACTGAAGAAAGTTATAAACTTTTAGTACAATGTACTCTTGCTCTACTCATTTTATTTAATAGGCGCAAAATTGGAGATGTTCAATACTTAAAAGTAGAAGATTACAAGTCCCAAAGAAAAACCGACTTTCAGGATTTTGAGGCTACTTTATCAGAAAGTGAAAGAGTTTTAACAAAACAATACAGACGGATTGTTAACGGTGGAAAAGGTTCTCGTGCTGTTGCCATCTTAGTTCACCCAGTGTTACAAAATTTCATGGATTTGTTGCTATTAAATAGGGAAAAATATATTTCCTGCGAAAATAGGTATGTCTTTGCCTTACCAAATAGCACCCTCAAATGGGCACAAGGGGATGTGGCTATTAGAAATTTGACATCAAAACTAAATTTAGAAAATCCACAGGCGATTTCAAGCAATAAACTGCGAAAACATACTGCTACAGCAATGCAGGTTCTAACAATGTTCAAAAATGATTGCAAGCAGTTTTCCAAATTTATGGGACATACAGAAAAAACCCACGAAGAGTTTTATGAGTAAGTAATATTCGCCCACGTACACACACCGATTCACTCACTCATACCCGTACAAAAAACGTGTGCAAATAGTCGGAGGCAGATTCCTTATATAAAAAATAGATGATTTTTTCATATAAACATGGGTCCGATTCCGCTTTATTTCGCAGTTACAGGGTGTTAAAACAAATAAATAAATAAATAAAAATAGCCAGTGACACTGACAATTAAGTTGTACAATTTTAAGTAAAGATTAACATTGCCTACCTATGTGTGCTAGTTCTATTCTACCTACATGTCAAAATTGAAATAGGAGCATACATTTTTAAAAATTGCCATTATTTCGATAATGACAGCAAGAATAAAAATAAAATCAGATTTGTTTAATTAAAAATATATTGGGTTTAACTTGTACATTAAAAAAAAATAAATTAGTTCAAGGATGTAACTGTAGGTTCGGATTCATTTGAAAAGTGTCTCCGGTTACAAGTTTTGTAATGCCTAAATTTAATTTAAATCTGCCAGTGGTTTCTCTAAATTAAAAAAAAAACTTATAGCTGAAAAACAAAACGGAATAGGATCCATATTCGTATAGAAATAATCTTATTTTTATGTAAGGAATTTATCCCCGAATGTTCTTATTGTTGTTTGTTGTCCCATATTTTTTTTGAAATACCTGGTATTTTAGATTACCTGTTGATGTTTTTTAAACGGCGAGGGTGGTTAAAACAAGAAGTGACGACTATTTGCCAACTAAAAGAGTCCAAAAAGATTGTAATAACGTCACTGTAAAGAAAAAACAAATTACTAAAAAAGGTGCAGTATAAAAGATTTTATAACTTACTTTATGAGCCCTAAACACTTAAATTCCGAACTAATATTTGTTATTTGTTACTATCGACCTTTATTTAAAAAAGGTAACTTTTTAAATTAAGATCAGCTAACTACTATGATGATTTAAATCCTAAAATATTGATTATTTAATAATCTTTATAAGCCATTCTTTTATTTTTTAGGTTGGACAGCAGAAGAAGTACAAATGGTTAAAAATCATTTTAAAAGTTTTTTAGATCAAAATACTTACTTATAAAAATAAATAAATTTCAACGAAGTATTCCAGTTGTTAAATCAAAAATACAGCATCTATTTAGATTAAAGAATAAATAACTAAGTTTGTCTTGTGTATTTCAAATTCTTATTTTTAAAAAGCATGTTTTGTCGGACTGGGGAGACATTTTTAGGGATCCTCCTGTCGATTCATTTTTAAGTGAGAAAACCTTAGAACCTTGGAAATGTATTTAAACAAAATAAAGTTAATAAATGTTCCCTTTAAAATCTAGATCTGTACATTTATTTAAATTAAAGATATTTATTGTTTAGTGTACAAATGGTCGATCGGGAAAAGTTAATTTAAAACGTTTCAAAAAATTTATTTTGAATATCCTCGTTGAAAAATAAATACATAAATCATATAAAAACATTAAGACTAATATTTTCCAACTGTACTTTGCGAATACCCTACCAAAAAATTATCTATCTTGAATATCAAGTACAGAAAGCAGAAAAATATATATTAAAAAGCTTTCTTTCTATGTGTTACATCTAATTTTCCTTCAGATAGTTAGATAAACCCTTTTTAATATCTCGTCCGAAAGACTAAGAAAAATAATTGCATACTCTACCTACCTCTTTCGCCACAGCTAAACTTCCACAAGTAACTACTAATTCCATTACAGCATTATATAATAAGATACAAATAGTAATATAGTAAAAACACGTGCCCTCCACAATGTGGCAACTGTGCAGGAGGATAGTACGCATAATTATAAATTATAAAATATATAAGTTCAGAGGGAACTAACCATGAATAATATCTTTGAAAATATAAAAATTTTATTCGTACCATTCTTTACCCCTCTCTTGAGGTACGTATAAAAGGACCTCCCCCAAATATGTATATACAAGCTTTTCATTATATATGTAATAGAACTAGTGGAGGTCGGTCCGCCTGGTGTNTGCCAAAAAAGACCTTTTAATTATGCACTATTGAGAAACCTATCTAAAATCGCAGAGAAAGACGAGAATACTCCTGCAGCAATAAATTACGGGAGCTAGCCCGCTTGCTATTGACTTACAGAAGTATTGTAGGCGACAATAATATTTCGTTTAAAGATATTCTTCATCCAAAGAATAAGACCTACGCAATACCAAGTTTAGCTATGCACACAGGAACAACTTTAAAGCTCATGTCTGAGGAATTAATTCACCTAATATTAAGGGGAAGTAAAGGGTTTCAGTCAGAATCTAAAGAGATGGCTGAGGTGTGGCATAGAAATGTAAAAAATTTTGAAAAGTTGGTTAAAGCGAGGTGGAATAAAGAAATTTCATCTGTAGCGAACAAAGATCTAAATGAAAAACGTTGGAGGAAACCTCTTTTGGTACCCTTAATTAATGACGTCAAAAAATTTAAGGAAGGGGCACTTAGTTATGCTAAAGAGTGCGAAAAACAATTTATTGATAAAAATGATACTGAAGAAAGTTATAAACTTTTAGTACAATGTACTCTTGCTCTACTCATTTTATTTAATAGGCGCAAAATTGGAGATGTTCAATACTTAAAAGTAGAAGATTACAAGTCCCAAAGAAAAACCGACTTTCAGGATTTCGAGGCTACTTTATCAGAAAGTGAAAGAGTTTTAACAAAACAATACAGACGGATTGTTAACGGAGGAAAAGGTTCTCGTGCTGTTGTGATCTTAGTTCCCCCAATGTTACAAAATTTCATGGATTTGTTGCTATTAAATAGGGAAAAATATATTTCCTGCGAAAATAGGTATGTCTTTGCCTTACCAAATAGCACCCTCAAATGGGCACAAGGGGATGTGGCTATTAGAAATTTGACATCAAAACTAAATTGCGAAAACATATTGCTACAGCAATGCAGGTTCTAACAATGTCCAAAAATGATTGCAAGCAGTTTTCCAAATTTATGGGACATACAGAAAAAACCAACGAAGAGTTTTATGAGTAAGTAATATTCGCCTATGTACACACACTGATTCAGTCACTCACACCCGTACAAAAAACGTGTGCAAATAGTCGGAGGCAGATTCCTTATATAAAAAATAGATGATTTTTTCATATAAACATGGGTCCGATTCCGCTTTATTTCGCAGTTACAGGGTGTTAAAACAAATAAATAAATAAATAAATAAAAATAGCCAGTGACACTGACAATTAAGTTGTACAATTTTAAGTAAAGATTAACATTGCCTACCTATGTGTGCTAGTTCTATTCTACCTACATGTCAAAATTGAAATAGAAGCATAAATTTTTAAAAATTGCCATTGGGACTAGCTAGCGCCAACTTTGACCCAAGCTGAAGAAGAAAGATTAGAAAATTGGATTTTGACAAAGGCTAAATTGGAATTTCCCATGCACGCCGACGGAGTCAAGGATGTAGTGCAGAAAATTTTAATGGATACCAATAGACCCAATAAATTTGAAGATAATAGGCCGGGTGCCAAATGGTTACAACTATTTTTAAATAGGCATCCTAACATTTCAAAAAGAAATACGGAAATAATAACTAAGAGTCGTGCTGCAGTTACGGAAGCTGGTATACGTGGATGGTTTTCTGATTTGACGAAATACCTAGAGGACGAGAATTTACTTGATATTATGATGAGCGACCCATCACTAATCTTCAACGCTGATGAAACTGGAATGAGAACGTGCGTGAAGTCAGGGAAGGTTTTGGCACCGGCAAAAGATTTTAAAAACTTATATGAAAGGAAGAGGATCGATAAGGTCGGTTTTCGGCCTAAATCTAATTTGGATGAATATGTTCAAAATAAGTTCCTGTAGTATCTACTAAAAAAAACTAAGTCCACCCTAAATGGACCACCACCGACATCCCCCCCACCCCCTGGTGTCACCCAACCACCCCTAAAAATAGTGAAAATATCATCACTTAATAACAGCATTTTTGAAAAAAATCGTCACTGGCAAACTAATATTTTCTTAATAATGTACTATGAACTCTATATTAACTATTTTCACTCTTCACTAGACAAATTTACACAATGTACGGGTATTTGGGAAAACGATACCAGAGATACTTCTTTATTTGAATATTGGAAAACAATAAGTTATAAACCAATAGCGTCCAATTCATTGAAGAAAATAAATAGCTCAGTAAATGTTAGTTTACATAAGGAACATACAAACGAAACTCCACCCGAGAATAATATCAATATTGTTAATGAAGGGGAAACACAAAATATTGTATTAACTCCCATGAAAGAAAATACTTTAACTCCCTCAGTAGTCCTTTGCACGAGTTTGAAATAGAACAATGTTAGCCCACTCGACTCCTTTACAAACTGAAAAGCGAACCGTATTACAATCTGAAAACTTATTAGAAAAGTCTCGTGTTATGTTGGTACCAACCCCCTTTAAAAAGGCCCTTTTTTAGCCTGAGAAAAAAGAAAATAAAGCTCCGAAAAGAAAGAAGCAAACAGTTCCGACAGTATGCACTTTCCAAATTTGGCAAGAATTTAGAGATAATTAGTAAAGAGAAATAAAGAAAAAATAGCAGAAAATAAAAAGCGATGCCTTAAAGGGTCAGGGTCAGATTCTGAAGCAACTCTTGAAGAAGTCAGTTTTATGGAGTCTGACGATTCTCGTTGGAATGAGCATGAGGATATATGTTACAACAAATGAACTAAGTGTGATGGCTCTAAAAAACATAGACACAGCAGAAAATATATTTATAGCTAATGAAAATGATGTATCCTATGTAAAATTTGATGCAATGGCTGACCTGCTAAATTCTCCTAAAATAAGATCTCAAGGGGAAAGAGTTAGATATCTTTTTAAAAAGCTAGTCGATGACATTAATGAAAAGTAATGTTTTCTTTTCTTATTGTGGTATTTATTATTGCGAATAAACATATATCTATACAAAAACTCTTGTCTTTGATTTTATGAATTTGTTTGGTAAAAATAATAAATTGACTAGTTGAAAAAAAAAACAATTCAATATTCGGAACTGTCAGGTCCAGGTGCAATCTGTGTCAGCAATAGCTTCATTTTCCAAAAATATCCATCTACGCCTCAGGTGTAGGCGCAGACTTTAAAAAAAAAAATAACAAAACCACAAGAGCCTTTTTTAAGTTTGATCAGAGCGAATAGTCATCAATTAAAAGTGCATTATTTCATTTGAAATTAATTTGCTGCCGACATGCAACTAAATATAGTCATAATTCACCTTTAATTGGTGAGGTTATCAACCCTAGTACTATTTTGTACTGTTGGCAGCACTGCATTATTGCATAAATGTAGGTGCGCTCCTCAGTAGCTGCTCATTTCAGGTCAGTTTGTTTATAGCTGTAGTGGAGTGCGGCTTTGTCACCAAATAAAAAAAGTAAGTTACACCGAAATGTCGTTTGGGGTTCGCAGGACTCCATCTCACCAGTTATGTATCTTTTGTATTATTTTAATTTTTAGTTAATACAATGGATATACCATCGACATCAATTCGTTACGGAGATTCCGATTTTGAACAGAAGCTTTTGAAATGGTATGAAGAGGAGGAGGAGGTAGATAATAATGAGGATGATAATGGAGAAAGAAGCAAACATGCAACGAATAAGTGAAGAAGAACTTGAAGATGTTGAAGAGTGAACTTGAAAATGAATCCTCATATAGGAAAACTGAAAAGTCATACTTTGGTAGAAATAGATACAGTGGTCCGCTGTAGAACCAAATAGGTTCGTAAGAAGCAACATAATCTGATTTCGCATCTACCTGGTGTGAAAGGTTCTGCAAAGGAATTAGGGAATACCGCTGAAGCTTCAAATATTTGGGAGTGATTATTTACAGATATTATGTTGAACGAAGTAGTCCAACGCACTAATAAGAAACTACGAGCGGCAAGAGAAAACTATGCAACTAAGGATAAAACAGAAATGGCAGATACTGATGTGGTTGAAATAAGCGCTTTGCTGGGGCTATTATACTTCAGTTCAATTTTCAAGTCAAACCATGAGGATTTAGCTGTTTGCTTTTCTACTGATGGTCCAGGAACAGATATATTCAGATGCACGATGTCGCTTAAACGATGTCTGACTTTACTGTGCTATTTAGTTTTGATAATGCAGAAGAGGGATTCGAGAAAACTGAGTGACAAATCTGCTGCAATATCTTACTTATTCAACAATCTAGTTGAGAATTCATAAAAATGTTATAGTCCTGAGCAATATTTGTGCATTGATTAAA